TTCGGGCGTCTCCACGCCACACGATGTCACTGAGATTATTCAAACGCGCGCCGACCGCGAGACCATATATCCACTGCACCGTTTTATATTCTCCATATCATTTTATCGGTCTGAAGATGTATGACCGAAAGCAATTGCTTGCCAATACGACTTTAACATGGATAGAGGTAGGGTTTGGTTGGCGTGTAATACGGTCGCCTATGACATGTTCCCTGAGTGGGGTCACATCGTTACCAACAGAAAACAACCCACTCACCATGAAACCACAAGGGAATTTGAAGTGTGGGCGAGACACCGGGAGCAGTGAACATCCGGAGGAGCCGCGGTGCCTCAAAGTGCCGGAACCATTCAATGATGGCATCAGGGCCCTGAGCACGTTGCAACTGTAAGATTTCATCCACGCCCTTCGTATCCAGGCCGTTCACCAGGGAGGTCTCCAGCAGACCGGCGTGGGACCCGACAGCGAATCGGAAGGCAGATGGCGTGGATAACCGTCCAGCAGCCTCCGCGTTGGAAGGTTGCACTGGTCCTGGCACGGAATGCTGGGGCCTGAGGTTCTGTGAGAACTCACCTACAGTGAGATGGGAGGAGAGGATTGAAAGGGAAGAGGTGAAGTGCTGCGAAGAAAAACCTGATGACTTTGTAACGCTAGTAACAGTACAATTTATCGAGGGGGGGCTAAAAAATCGAAATGCAAGCGTTGAGGTTAGAGGAATAGGCGGAATCTTAGTTTAGGTTCCAGAAATTGTTTAAATAATCTACTGCTTTCGCAACAGAATAGAGCGCCATAAATAAACACAGAAATTTACTTATATCTTTTACTTACTTATAATTTCTTGGTTGTGACAAATTTGGACATTTTTTACTTACTTTATAGTTTATTGACTTTCTTGATATTTCTGAAAAACAATTTTGGTGGTAAGGAGGTCGTCTACTTCAAATTGCCCGAGGTCCAACTTACCGTTCTAGAGTTAGATTAGTATAGTTCGTGGCGCGAAACGCCGCGCACAGCTTCGATTTACATGCGCAACAACGTTATGATAAGTTGGTGAATCCTGGAACAGATCGGAGTACACCTATGTACTAATCTATATCCCGATCGACAACCGGCCAGACGTCGACCCGATGGCTCAGTGGATAGGACATTCGTCTCTTGCTCACTGGTCGCGGGTTCGAAACTCGAGTATAGCGGCAGTTTCTGTGGCTATACTGGAGTCCGGTAACTGCAGCTGACGAAAGCTAATAAGCTAGAAATACGCTTATCCTGCAGTCCTAACGTTTGCCGGTAATACATTGATTAATGTTATGATATTTTATTTTATTTGGTTCATTTAAGTTATATTTAAGTTCAGTTTTCAATTCATTATTATGTTTTCCACTTTTATTTTAGTTTTACATTATTTTTTAATAAAGCCATTTTAGCTTACATTAGTGTGCGTTTTTATTTAGTTGATTTTATTTTCGATTAGTTACTTTTTTATTTCCCAATATTTGCATAACTGCACATTTTAAGTATCGCACGCTTCTTCCTTGACAAACATTAGGGCATTTAAACAATTATTCCTGGTTTTCTTCTTTTATAAACTTTATTTTTTTCTATTTACATTTTTTTCGGCAAGAATGATTAGTGAAGCTTAAAAAATATGTTCGACTTATAATGAAAAACTACCTCCATCAGTTCAGTAGGCATACTTCCCGTTTTCTTCCGCCGCGGATTCACTAAGATGCAGTTGGTTTGAGCGCCGGTTTTCGTCCTCCTTCGATTCGCACGTTTCACCGCTCCCCCGTAACAGTGTCTCAGTGACCTTGCCCAATGTCTGCGGACACCCGAAACCACTTACGCGCGCTCACCGTTGGTCCAATTGGGGTTAGTAATAGTATTAAAAATGGACCTCATTAACCTCATCCGAGGTCACCTACCATCCCCATCTTACACGCGCTCATCTTCGCCCGAGGTCAGCGAACACGTCCCAGCTTACACGCCATGACCTTCAGTGACCTCGCCCGAGGTCAGCGAACACCCCCCAACTTACACGCGCTCACCTTTGGTCCAGTGGGGTTGGTAATCATATTAAAGAATGCACCTCAGTGACCTCATCCGAGGTCAGCGAACACCCCCCAACTTACACGCGCTCGCCTTTGGTCCAGTGGGGTTTAGCAATAATGTTTAAATAATGTTAAAAAGTATGCCTACTGAACAGAGGGAAGTAGTTTTTAATTATAAGTCGAAAATATGTTTAGGCCTCACTAATCATTCTCGCCTTTTTTAATTTGCATTGCCCAGACTGTATGCTCCTTGTTTCACCCGGTTCTGTATTACAGGAGGATGGGGCTTTAGTGTGCTGATCTGGGACCCAAACTAGGATGCAACAGAGGAATGAACCAGTGTGCTTTGTTCACTAACAGCATAGTTATCCTGGAAAAGTAGTCCGAAAGCGTACAGTTTTCCCCCTGCTAGACACCGAGCTCGATGGCTCAATGGTTAGGACGTCTGT